CTAATCACAAATTCAAGTGGGTCAATAATTAATTTTTCTAACTTAAAAGTCTTGTCGGGATGATCCATACTTCGGATTCCTGATCCGTCAATTCCAGCTATCCTCAAATATTATGTTCTATAATGCATTAAGGTTTGGTGACAATCTAACAGTCGGATTGTCAATTCATATTTTGATCAAGTAAGGTATCGTAATGAAACTAAGTTCAAACAATCAAATTACGTCATACGGATATCAAACATGAACTCAGGGCATCTAATAGCACTTAAAAAAATATCGTCAGCCCACTGGCCACGCGCCACCGCGGGTGGCGGTCAACCGTCCCGATTCGTCGGAAAATTCAACTATTTCCAAAATTTATCAAATTTCACAGAAATGTAGATCTCAATGAATGGAGTAAGTTTCATACATGTGGCCAAGTCCAATTTGGCCTAGAAAAGCTCCAATTTTACCCAAACCCGGCCGGAACCCTAGAAATGGGTGTGCCTCGATCTGTCACCATCGATGCTCCGCCGCCCCCAGAACTGTTTGGGCTTTGTTCCTGGCCTCTAGAGAAGTGCTTTGGTGGTGGTAACTGGTGGAGATTGTTCCACAAATGGTGGATCGCCGACAAACTTCCCTCATACCCACTAGTGCGGTTATCACGAAATCGACCTAATTTCCATCAAATTTGGAGTGTAAAGGAAAGATGGAACAATAAGGAATGTTTTCTAGGTGATTAAATCATGTGGTTCTCCGGAAAAACCGACAAAAACCATCGGAGAAGACAAACGGAACCGGCCGGATCGGGATAAAGGGAACGGGTCCATCCTCCCGTGCCTTTCCCCTCTCCCTCATTTTCCTCATTTCCTCCCCTTTCATCTCAACCATCCATCTCTCTCCTTTCTCTTCTTTCCTTCCATCCCAGCCACACAAGTGGCTTCACAAATCTTTGCTCCAAAAATCTGGAGCATTCCAAATTAAAGAAAATTACCAAAATGTCTTTAACTTTAAATGTTAATAACTCTTTCATTATAACTCAGTTTCACGAACGGTTTGCTCCTACACGTTCGTGAGATCAAGCTCTATTCAAAAATATAAATTGTAACCTCGAAAGGTCTACGGATTTTAAAGATTGATTACGAAAATTCAACCCCGATAATTATTTGATTTAATTCCAAAAATCAATGAAATTAAAATTAACTAATAAAAATAACGTAAACGTGAAATATGAATTTAAATAACGAGATACGTAATTAATAGTGAAATTTCGAGGACGGGATTTCACAAGAATTCTTTACAAGGCTACAAAGAAAATAAATAAATTAAACTTCTAGAGATCTCAAATCTAATTCAATCTCATTCCGCCTACTCTCATGACTGTCTAGTTCGAAAACCTGCATAACAATAAAGGGGTGAACTTCAACAACTCACTAGGGACATGATCTTAAATAGTAAAATAACCAAGCTAAATTAGATGTCATGGCATCATACACATTAGATATCAAATCATTATTGATAACAATGCATGAATGCAACGTAAAGCACTTTACCTATACTTGTTAATTCGTATAACAAAACACACAGACCTCGTACGTCTCATTCCGTACTTATACCACTTGGTCCTGAGTGCTAAGTTATATAAAATTTCTACCGATCCCAAGCCCGGGTCGTGACACCTAACCAGGTCAACAGACCTGGTGATCGCACCTGCCTGCTGGCGTGAGACCCTCTGCAGCAGCCCCAACAGAAGAGCCAAACGACTCTATATGACGTGGCTCGATAACAACCGTCGAATTGATCTTAGGCGGGTGTAATTGATCTTAGGCGATTATCGAGGCATGTTTGTAGAGAGAGGGATTGATTAATTTGGTGGTTGCATGACACATGCATACGGAACAAAACGATCAAATGGAAGTCACCAAGAGGCAATAATCACGGATCGGGAGCTATCAGATGGACAGCACAGCACAAAACTTGACGTTGAGTACTTTACATGTGGGCCAATTCGGTGTTGGGCTTTACATGTGGACCAATCTGTTCTGACATTCCAAAAAAATATGACCACAAAATGAAACAATATAAAAAGTGATTTAACTTATTATCAGTCCATGCAAGGTTTTGTTATTCGTCGAAATGGGACTTTAGCCTTCACACCTTCATATAATGTTCCAATAACTTGTTTTTTCCCATTAATTTTCTTGTTAAAATATGTCAATAATTTTGAAAATGGTACATAAAAGTACTCTTATAACATCCCTCAAATATGGAAAACCAAATAAAATAATAAAACTAGAAAACAAAATAAAATAATAAAACTAGAAAACACATATCCCTATTCTAATTTGGTAAACTAGGCAGCCATAAATTCCACACATTTCCTAGTCAAATTTGCACCAAATCAGGCTTAAGAAGTGGTGTTGGAAAGATTAAAACGTTCCTTTCAACTTTGTATAATGAACTTTCCTAAAAAAAAAACATAATTTTCAAAGACTTGTGATCAAAACAAGCTCAAAATGTCAATCTAGCAGCACAATCCTCTTTACTCCTTGATGAATCAGTTCTAATTGGAATCACTCCAAAATTCCATCGTTTCGTCACTTTTTAAGCAAACTAGATTCTGCTTGTCCTCCAATTAAAGCATAGAAGAAAGTATCAAAATTCTCTCAAAATAACAAATAATTATACCAAAGATTAGGATAAAAATAGAAAATAATATCTACTAGGCGGTCCTCATACAATAAAAGAGAATTAAGTCACGATAAGCATGGAAACTATTGAGGAGAATTTGTAAGGTAAATATTTATACAAATGATAACACTATTATTCATCAACGATAACGCAAGTTTTAGGGTGAACGACATTGATGTTTTCTGTGTTTGCACTTAAAGTCCGCCAATCTTTTTGCATTTGTTGCCTATTGCACTGCACAACTGATGGATGCTAATATTCAGTTTACAAGCAGTTCCTACTAAACCAGTTCCCTTGTAGTCTACGAAATGTTGTACAAATTTCGTAGCTTTGGTTTTAGAATTTATACAACTCTAGTTATACACATTACTCTTGAATATGTAACTGTTGTACAAGTATTCTTAGTTACTTAGGCATAGGAAAGTTTTGATTTGATTTGATTGAAAAGAGTGTCTCCAATTAATCGAATGAACAAGAATCCTTTGAAACAAACATAGCTGCTTTCATTCTAATTTCAGAAAATCCAAATCCATGAAAAACATATGCAGCACTCTACTATCTTTATTGATATCACTTTCATCTCCATTTTGTTTGTTAAAGGATACGAACAAACATTGATATAACTTAAAACAGTAGGATATATAGGGCAGAGTCTTGAACTTGAATAACACAATCAACTAAAAGCTATGAAGCTTTCTTTCTTTTTAAAGAAACCTCGACTGTACGAGAGAAAATTTTATTGAATAAAAAAGAAGTTACACCTAGTCAAAGGGGGACATAAACTTTACTCCTCAAAATAAAGACAGGATAAAGAAAAGAAGGCGAAAATACAAGAAAGTAGGGGGACATACACTTACATAACATAAAACAAACTTATAACTAAACATATAGAGAAGGAAAGAAACCACAATAGAGAAACCAAACGACAACAACAGACCCCTCCCCCCCCCCCCCACTAGTACTCTAAATTTTCCATATCATTTGTCTGATCATTCCAAAAATCTTAAGAAACAAATCGGGCCTCCTTGTGATCACAACATCTGCAAGAACTACTCCCACTACCAACCCACTTCCACATCCGGCCGAAACAATTTTCCAATCAAATTCAAATATTCCTGCTGAGCTAGAATCACCTTCGTCTAATGTTGGAGGTGGAAGTTGAGGGGCCTTAGGATTTCCACATTTCTTTGGCAATGGATCTCCACACAACCCTGGGTTTCCCTCGTATGAAGTAATATTCAATGAAGTAAGCTGGGTTCCTTCTGGTATAGGACTTGTATGAACGAATATGTCATGTTTGTATATGATATTTTATTTTTTTTATCCTACGGCCTACTATGTTGTCTTCATCTTCGGTCTCAAAAGCCTTCCTTAACTTCTCTTTATCTATCTCAAATTCATAGCATAGTAATAAAAACATACTGCAAACAATTTCACTATGCAGTAAAATTTATCAACACAATTCCTTGAGCTCTCAACATTATAAATTTATAAATGAAAGAAAACAGGTGTTAATGCAGAAGTCAAAAGATATAAATCACTTTCAATTGATAGAACTAAAAGATCACAAAAAAAACAAGGACCTAGCGTTGATACCATAAGAATGTCCAAAGGCTATTCCTGTTAACTTTGCTTGGTCTTCTCTTGGTCGATTCTCCATCAACTCCTCCTGCTTAACCTCAATTATTTCAGTTGTCACCTCATTCCTCCCCCTCTTTTTACTGACTTTAATCTCACTTGCACCAGCAGCGGGGGGATGGCTGGCACAACAGTTCCCGACCCACCAAATCAATCATTCCAAAATTTCTCAGTCTCAATCAATTCAACGAACAGAATGGCAGCACCACATTTTCTTCGAACACCACCTGGCATCCCACAAGTCTACAACCCTCAATCCACCACTACCTTCAATGTGTAGCCACCTCAACCACGGGGACCAGCCACCCACGGTTTCATGTATGCAAGTGGAGTTACAACCAGCAATGCAGCAGAAAACAAAAGTAGAAAATGGAGAAAAAGAATATAGAAAGAAAAAGGGTGTCTGGAGGTGGAGAAAAGCCGAGAGGAGAAAGTGGAGAGCACGGCTGCCTACTCCATTGTCTAATAAAATAAGATCAAGATAAACTTTAATCATTCATGGCAGGGGACAAATACAGAGTATAATATATACCCATTATCCCACTATCTGGAAAAGTACAGAGTATGGAGTGCAAAGTGACACAACTATTTATAGACTGGCATCAGTATAAAATTCTTCCGCAAATTATACATATACTAAAACCCAGTTCCCCCAAGCACCGTTTTTCACTGTTCATGAACAGTGAAAAGACGGTAATGCCCTCGGGTTTTCCTAGCTTTGCCCTCATGTGTGCAGTCAATTGCCGGTTTTACCCATTGATCCCAAGGGTTCTGTGTCGTTTCTTTCTCTCTTTCCATTCATCTCTTTCACTTTACCTTTCAGCTCTCCATTTTCTGCTTTCCTCAACTGGGTTTTCCTTCGTCGTCGGTGTGCACTCTGATTTCTCTCAATTTATTCCTTTTCGTTTTGCGAAATTATGTCCGGCGAGACATGATCTTTGATTTTTGCAACCATTGTTGGCCGTTCTTCTCTGTTTTTGGCTGCCATCCGTACTTTGGATCGATTTCGTCTTTTTCACCGTTTTGTTTCAAGCCTCTCTTTTGAGAGAATTTTTACGTATTAAGGTTAGTGATTTCTAAACTTAAGTTTTGCTTTGCAGTTTGATTTCATTTTTGGTTGTCTTGCCCAAATGTTAGAAGCTTTTAATTTTTTTGGGTTCAATTTTAAATGGGTTGTTGCTTTCGGAGTTTTCGTTTGATGACAGAGATCGGGGTTTTTGGGGAAAAACTTTTAATCGGTGAGTTTTTTAGTTAAGTTGTGTTGTGGGTCCTGACAAATGGATTTTTTGTTGAAATTGTTTCTCTTCTCATTTTTGGTTTTTTTTTTTTTTTTTTTTTTGTGCCATCGGGTTTTTGCATGTGGGTGTATAATCAGGTTTTCTTTTGAATTTCAGGGGATTCAGGTTTTTATTTTTTTTGGAACTTTTGTATGCAGCTTTGGAAGACATTTATGCTTAATGTGAGAAACTTTGGTTGCTCGCTTTTGGGTTTTGTTGTAGAATTAAGTTTTTTATTTTATTTTTATTTTAAAGAGTTACATTCGTGGGAATTCATTTATTCTTTTTTTTTTCTGCATCTGGAAAATGCAACCTGATGTGAGTTATAGTCATAAGTGCAAACAAGAAAAAGTTGTAGTCATAAGTGCAAGAAATATAAAGCCAAAAGAACTTAGCAACAATATCATACCTTATTTTTCAATTTACTTATAAGGTTTCACATTTTTGTAAATATCAAGAACAAAAACCTAGAACAGCCTCACAATTTGGTGCACTGACTAGGAAATTGACAGTTGGGTATAGGTATGGGTAGTTAAAAACTATGAGACATGAAAATTATTGTCAAATGCAAGGACAGAAGGTCGTGTATTTGCAAAGTTGAAGCGGCCCAAGGACCGAGTTGGTATGTTTGAGTAGATTGCTTGATCTCCTTAGTTGGGTTTAGGTTTAATGCTCAGTAGTTGGGACCAAGATCCTCTCCCGAGGTAAGGATGAGGATCCTCCTGATCAAGGAGTGTGGACCGTTGGATGAAAATCCAACGGCTACAATTATTATAACTTTAAAGAGACTCCCCAGTTTGTAGTCGTTGGATTTTCATCCAACGGCCCACACTCCTTGGTCAGGAGGATCCTCATCCTTAGCTCAGGAGAGGATCCTGGTCCCAGTAGTTGTTGTGCTTCTGCTGCTTTTTAGTTGTCGAGGATATACAGGGGGACAAGGATTGTCTGCCCTCCCACTTTCGGTGCCCTCCTGTGATTTGTGTGGTCACGATTAAGCCACGTTAATATTTTATATTACTATTCTTTGTGTCAACATTTTATATCCTATGCAGGGAGAGCAAGTAAAAAGATTGTATTCACTGTGTTGACGCATTATTGAACAAGAGACCCAAAAGGAAGAACATATTCAATCTCAAAGTCTGTCAGCTTTCACTTCTTAATTTTATTATTATTAATTTTGTTTGCTCTTCGAAATTTGAATGCATGAGTTTTTTAATTTTTTTGCGATTAGTTTCCCTGAGATGGGTTTTGGGTAATCATTTATTACTTTCTGATTTGGTTACAGGATGCGAATCATTGCTTCTTTAGAAAAGATTAAGGAAGGTGAGCAATTTCAGAAAAAAAATGCGATTATCATTTTCTAGAGATCATGGCATGCCCTTCCGTTATTTTTTGGTGGTTGTAAAATTATGACCTGACAGGGAAGTTGGTTTTGACAAGATTTTTATTTTTATTTTTTATTTTTTAATTTTACATATGTAGTGTCATGCTAGCATTATTGCTTACGTATAAATGCGAGTGTGTTTTACATTTATATAATGCCTTTAATTTTAACCTCTGCATTTTCACTAATGCCTTTAATTATCCTCTGTTTTACATGTCAGTTACGACACAAAAGCTTCATAGAAAAAGTATCAGCTTTTGACTCAAATTTCGACCGTGCCCCTATCATTTCCGAAAATCAAAGCAACCCCAAGCAATTCCAGAATCATTTTTATGCGTCTCAAAATCCAGTATGTATTATCTTCATCTCAAATTTATTCATCTCACAAACGTTGATATCAAGTTCGTAGTTTTTCATTGTTCAAAATTCCACACTACTCAATATTTAATAACACTTTTATTTTCCTCTATTTACCTTTTTATTAGTGATGTTGCAGCAAAGGAAATATCAGACACGACTCTTATTCCAAAGGCTCCAACCAGAAATGTATCAGATTCCCCAATCATTTCTGAAACCATATTTATGGCTGCAAAACAGAGTATGTATACCCTTTCATTGTTCTATACTTTTTGAATTATTAATGACCTATTAAACATGATCTCTTTATCCCATTCGCTTAAAACTCAAATAGTTCACTAGATTTCTGTATCATAGTATCTTTCGACCATCTTTTGTATGTAAGTAGGACAATTTCGTAAATCTTTTGTATGTAAATATTATATACATATGCATCAAGCATTCTCTTTTGTATGTAAATAGGATTATCTACCAAATCTTTTGCACATAAAATAGTATGTACATATAGATCAAGTATTTTTGTATGTACATAGTGCTATACACAAAATTTCATACAGTTTTCAATCCCGCAGCATCGTGCGGGCATCTCTTACTAGTTAATCTCTAAAAAGTGATAGAGATAGGTGTAACGGGGCAAGAACTTTTTGAAGTCAAGTCTTCAACTTTTGAAGTCAAGTGCATCGTATCTTCTACATGCGTAAAAGAGGCTCTTGACTAATTGATTTGTGAGTTAATTTTTGAAGTCAAGTCTTCAACTTTTGAGATGGCGTGAAATTAGAAGTTAGACAAATGAGCAGCACCATAAAAGAAAAAAGAAAAAATTTGCACACACATAGTTAATCTCATGAGTTCCTTCTGTAAGGGTTTATGATATTTGTATTGACACTCTTGTAAGGTTTTATCATATTTGTATGCCCAATTGCAAGACTAATCCAAACTTTGTATTTGGGTACTTCTAAATGTGTTGGACCTTCATGCTTGAAATCTTCATTAAAATATGTGTAATTTGTATTCGAATGTAAAATTAAAAAAAATAAATAAATGTTAATGGGTGACTCATGAGTTTAACAGGTTGAGTTTGAGTGACTCATTAGCTTAACGAGTCGGGTGTGGGCGACTCGTTAGCCTAAGGGGTCAGGGGAAATCCGATCCAAACTAAATAAACCCGACCCGTTTATAGGTTACTAGCAGATAGTAAAGGGATGAAAGTTTCGAACTCGCAACAGCAAATTAAGACATTAGAGTCATCAGATTCAATTCCTGCAATTCCTGCATTGGCTTGAAGTGGAATGGATTTGAAGCAAGAACTTTTCATTCGATATCCAATTTCTTCATCATTAGGACTTTCAAACTCCTAGCATATATTAAGTCAAGATTGCGGGTGTAACGAAATTTTTCATGTTGGATTTGGTCTATGGTGCATTTTTCAAACTGCAAGCCCTTTTTTCATCAGAAAAGAAATATCTCATTAACTCGAGAGAAAGCACGGAAGAGAGATACTTCCACTTGGAGGTGAGGCCCCAACCATGAAAAACTATAGAAAAACGTATTTGGCTCAATTCTACTTTTCCTTCATTCTCAAATGTACAATATATATATATATATATATATATATATATATAGCCAAGTCCAATTTTCAGAAGTCGAATCATGTGAACGGTAGAAGATCAATGTATAAAAATTACAAGTGTGTGTAGGAAGTAAAATGGGATGTGTGAATAGTATTGGGAGAAATTAGATTTACATCATTCCTTTTGCTACTCCATTAATTAAAATATTATTCCTTTTCAATTTTTTATCAAGGTCTTTGAATATTAATAATACATTAATTATTTCAATAATAAAATATTTTTTATTTTTAAATATATTCCTTTAGGGTGCGTTTGTTGCACAGAACTATCTCGGATTGGACTAACTTCAAGAACTAAGCTGGACTGACTTGGCTTAGACTAAGCATGACAAAAATAGTGAAGTGTTTGGTATGGCGCCGGACTAATAAGCCGGACATGAAAAAATATTAATTTTTATATTATAAAAGATTATTTTGTAGTTATTTTAAATTTTAAAAACCTAATTAAATTGCTTCTCTAATCTCTATCCAAGAAGGACCCAGATGCTTCGTCTACCAATTCAATTGCCAGCAACTTTTTTATTTCCTATCGCAGCAACTCACCCAACACCAACAATAAAGAAATACCCAGATGTTTTTATATCCCAATTCAATTGCTTATCTATTAAAGCGATTCAATTGCTTCCCTACCGCAGCAACTCACTAGTCTACGACAACAGATTTGCGAAGACCCAATCGACCCATAAATAACCAGACCTGAAAGAGAGACCCAGAAATACCCAGTTTTGTAAGCTGCCACACATCCATCACCAACAACAGCGCTTCCTAAAAAAAAAATGGCGGTGTAACCGCCGTTTCCCGCCGGCGGAGGAATGGCTGCACTGCAAGAGTGGTGGGAATCAATTTTGGGGGATGCAGAGGAATGGCTGCATCACATGGATTTGTGACGAGAGAGAGAAGAAAGAGAGATGCATGCGGATAAGGGGTGGGCTGAGGTCGTTGGCTCGTTTCTTTGTTAGTCCTGCTTAATACCATGTGAAACCTTGGGTCTAGATATTGAGGTTTAGTGAAGTGCGGGGCGCCTCGTAGTCGAGGCGAGTCCCGTTAATTCCAATCCAAGACCATGCCAAACGTAGGACTATAATCCTAGTTAAGCCAATCCATGCTAGTCCCTTCTAAGAAGGTGTAACAAACACACCCTTAGTGTTAAAAATGTTATAATTAATATATTTATATTTATGGTTAAAATTTTTATCATATATTTTTATTTTTAGTTTGTAACAATTTTTAATTTTCAAACCTTTTTCAAATTGTACCAATTTTCTTTTCAGTTTTAATTTGTACCCATATATTAATTTCTTTTTGTGCCCATATTTTTAACGCTTTATTTGTATTTGTGTCTGTGTGTTTATCGTCACGTGACATTGTATAATTAATCAATTATAGAAAAAAAGGAAAACTAATGAAAAGAGCTTGAAAACTTTGAGTTTTAACGATAAGGACAAAATAAAGGGTAAAGTGAATAGTATTGACATACCCCGATCATAAAATCAGAGCGTGCTGACCGTCACGTGAGCGTGACGTAACCAAAAGTGCGACGCGGAAGCAAAAAGGTAAAAGAAATACGAAGGAATAAAAACCAACTACTAGCAATAATATCCAACTAACATGCTAGAATGAATTTAAGTGTGAAATACACATAATCAGAGCATAAGTACTAGGTGCAGTCAAGTAGGACCATTCCTAAATTACAACACCCGAAGGTGAGTCCTACATTTAAGTGGTCTGTCAGAACGCCGTGGGAGTCCTCGTGAGCCACCAACACTGCTAACTAGAACCTGGAGGGGCGCAAAACAAGATTGAGTGGGTCAGTAAAACAAAGCTTTTCAAAAATATTTCATTTAATAACACTTCTAACCCCTCGCTGTAAAACCTGTATACTTTCCCAGAAAAATAGTATATATATAACCATATATAACAACAAATAATTCAAATCACAAGTCTTTAACACTTTTCAGGAAAATATGCCATGCTATGCTTCAAAACATAATAAGGATGCATCAATATAACAAGTGAAATAAGGAATCAACCGGAGACCCTGCAGCTGTCCTGTACGGCTAATTCTATAGCTCAATATCCAATCCAACCGGAGTCACCAACTGTGACCTGTACGGCACTACTCTGCACACAAATCGGAACTACCTGAAGTAGTATGTACGACAAGAATGGTGTAAGAATACGCTCTAGTGCTTCTCTCATCAACAGCTGTATAATAATCTAAAGTCACCTACAAGTCGGAACCATCTCTACTGGTCTGTACGACATGTCGGAACCACCTCTAGTGGTCTATACGACATGCACCTACTTGGATCCAAGGTGAGCGTGTGGTGCGAGGTGAATAATATAAGCACTAACACCAGGGGTGCAGGTTATGAGCTCTCAACACAATTCACATCATCAATAAATCACATGAACAACATAAAACTCACCTGATACTCACTTGTGCGTCCACAACACCATTTAACATATATGCATGAAATACTAGTTCATATATTTCATATAATATGAATGCATGACCTTTTAAAACATACTATCATTTAAATTCAATTTCTGGGAAAAGTCAGTAGTATATATGTATATACAGAAAATAACTGCCCACTCACTAGTATGTCGAAGAGTCGTAACCCCCGTGACGCCCTTGAATGTGCTCGTCCTCGGGATAGGTCTCACCTATATGCGAAACAACTATAAAAACGTTATTTTAACGCACATAGGCAAAACTAGCTTATAACTTCTCATACATTGCTCAATTTGGGTATATGAATATACCACAGTGACCTACTCGACGTCACGGATGTCGAGATATTTTAGAATAATTTTTCAATGCCGCACGCGCCCCCACGCGCCGGGAGAGGCACGGTGCTACGCGTCATCCCCTACCTCCAGACACCGGAAAATCTCGTCGGCGCCGGAAACTGGGCAAACCTGTAAATGCCATTTTCCACGAAATTTTCACCAAAATGTCACAAATCACGAGAGGAAGAAGGCTATACCTTTTAAAACTTCCAAATCCTTTGAAAACTCGTCGGGATAATTCACCAAAACCGGCCACCTTCGAACCTCGTGATCCCGACGTCCAAAACCTTCAAACGAACGTCCTCGAGCTTCGTGGGAACCTCCTTAAGCTCACTGTGAGCTTGAAATTCCCTGAAACACAATGTTTTACGTGTGCATGAACAGTGCACATTTTCGGGGTTAGGGTTTCACAATGATTTCGAAGGTCTTAAGTTCCAAAATTAGTATGCTTGAACTCAGGGACTCAAGATGAGTTCGATTCTTACCTTAGAACCTTCGATCTGTGAAGAAATGGCGTAGAATAAGCTTGTCCGCACGTGCACAGTGACAAAGGTGCCGAAAAACCGAGAGAGAGAAGGGAGAGAAAGTCCACGGGAGAGAGAGAGAAAAGGCAGGTTTGTGTGTGTGTGGTCCACATTAATCCCTAACCACACAAATGAAAACATAACCTAAGTTCCAATTAAATTTTCCACAAACTTAGGAAGGACAATATTAATCAAATGTATAAGTCACACACACACCTTAGAAATCTTTAGGGACAATTCCGTCAATTCACATCAACGATAAATGTAATTTCGGGACGGCTGTGACAGTATCATGATTGATTTTTTAGTGTAAAAATGTGGTTTTTCGTTAAGGTGAACAGTACAGAGAGTTTTTCGTTAAAGTTTCCTAGAAAAAATTACATATGTTATACATAACTATTTGTAGACTGGCATCAGTATAAAATTATTCTGCAATATAATTTCTAAAAAGTGATAGAGACGAGTGTAAAGGGGACAAGTGCATCGCATTTCTTCTACATGCGTAAGAAGAGATGCTCTTGACTAATTGATTCATGAGTTAACTTTTGAAGTCGTCTTCAACTTTTGAAACTGTGTGAAATCAGAAGTTAGAAAAATGAGCAGCACCATACAAGAAACAAGGCTTGATGACGCAGCACTAGTGTAGAAGGATTAAAAATATAAATCCTTGAAGAAACAAAGTTTTTGGAACCCACCAGTTTGATAGAAACTCCAAAAGGATAATTTGATTAATTGATGAGTTGGTGATTACAATGGCTAACGCTAACACTCATGACTTAAATAAGTAATTTACAACACTTTTGGACAACTCAAAAGGCTTAGAGAATTAAAACGAAAGTAAATGACATTAATCGGACGACAATTGAAAAGTCTGAAACTTATTACAAACTTTATTTTTTGGTTTTGGAAGCTTAATTCCTCTTAAACATGACGGGCTCATGATATCATTCCTCTTGTTCTGCTCGCAATTCTCTTCAAAACGATATATTATACGCCTAATTATGACACCGGAATATTTCTTGCTGTTTTTTCTGTCGTCATATTTATTGAATCCAATATTTTCCAATTTTAATTATTCTTCTCTTGAAACATTTTATTTTATTTATATTTCTTGATAGGAAGTGACTCATATCTTGTCTTACATCACTTGACTTGACCTCAACCATCTGATCTTCGACCTCAAGATCCAGATTAATGGAGTGTGTAAAAAATAAATAAATAAAGGGAAGAGAAAAAGAAGTACAAACCGATCGATTACAAAACTTTGCTAAAATTGCTACATAACGCAAAATGACTACATCTTACCAAACTTAACACCAGCCAAGTTACATGGTGTATTTATAAAGACCCAATTCTTAACAAACATGAAAGCAATCGTAAACCCTCCTAAATAATAGGAAAGTAACCTAAGATCATGTGGCACAGAAGGATTGAAGAGTAGTAGATTGACTGAGTAGTAGACCTGTAAACAGGTCGGGTTCAATCCAACCCGTTAAATTAATGGGTCACCCAAACCCAACCTGTTAAGCTAACGGGTCACCCGAACCCGACCTGTTTCACCTCGTTAACAATTATTATTATTATTTTTTTGCATAGAGTTTATTTTTTGTTGTTAAGACTTTACTGAAATTACTAAAACATCCTCAACTAACGGATGCTAACGGGTCCGAACGGGTTGACCCAAAGTGACCCGTTATTTAACAGGTTCACCCGTTAGCGACCCAACCTGTTAAGTATCCACACAAATACTAATATTAACGGGTCAGGTCGGGTCGGGTCTAAAATGCCAGGTCAGTGAGTAGTACTCTTGACAAGACTGAACAAATAATGAATGCAACCAAATATAGTAATTAGGTTTTAATTCGACCGGTGGAGTGGATACTGGTCTATGTGTGGAACTTGTGCTTTGTTTTTGGTCTATGTTGATTTTTTCAAACTGCAAGTTCTTTTCTCATCAAAAAAGAAATATCTCATTACTCATCCCCAACTACAGATGTCTCTAGGAAGTGTAGGTATTCTTGTTGACGTCAAATAGGAGAGAAACGGCATCCACTAGTCTTACGTGGTTGATATGACTCTTTGACACTTGGTAGACCCGATTCTTCTACACTTAATGGATTTCTGTTTAAGAAGTTGAGGTTCTACCATAATATCGCAGTAGTCACATGCACTCCACGTAGTTCCGTTGTTTGTCCACATGTTAGACTTAAAAAAATTTTCCACAAAAAACAGAAGAAAAAAAAATGAAGTTAATTTTTGCATATATGTAATACATTTATAGTTGATCTCATGAGTTCCTTCCGTAAGGGTTTATGATATTTGTATTGACACTCTTGTAAGGTTTTATCATATTTATATGGCTAATTGCAAGACTTATCAACTTCACATTTGGGTACTTCTAAATGTGTTGGACCTTCATGCTTGAAATCTTGATTAAAAAATATGTAATTTGTATTGGAATGAAAAATTAAACAAAAAAAAAAAAAACAATTTTAACGGGTGACTCATGAGCTTAACAGGTTAAGTTTGGATGACTCATTAGCTTAACGAGTCGGGGGTGACATGACCTAAACCCAATAAACCGAACCCGTTTACAGGTTACCAGTAGATAGTAAAGGGGATGAAAGTTTCAGACTCTCAGCATCAAATTATTAGTCATCAGTTTCAATTCCTGCATTGGCTTGAAGTGCAATGGATTTGAGGCCCGAAATTTTTATTCGATACCCAATTTCTTTATCATTTTAGGACTTTCAAACTCCTAACATCTATCAAGTCAAGAGTGCGGTGTAACGAAATTTATCATGTTGGATTTAGTCTATGTTGCATTTTTCAAACTGCAAGTCCTTTTCTTGAGAAAAGGAATATCTCATTAACTCAAGAGAAAGCAAGGAAGAGGAGAAATACTTCGAGTTGGAGTTGAGGCCCCAACCATAGGAAAACTGTAGAAAAACGTATTTGACTCAATTGTACTTTTCATTCATTCTCAAATGTACAATATATATATATATATATATATATATAGTAAATAAAAATATATGGATTAACTATAAATACACACCATTTACTCTTTTATATAATGAGCTTAATGCTGAAACGTTAATGAATCCATGTAGAAGATTTAATAAGCCTAATTGTTCAATGAACCTAATTAACTAACATGCCCTCTCAAGTTAGAGAGTGAAGATCCACAACTCCCAACTTGCGTATCATAATCGAAAATTTTAAATTTCGTTAGGTAAAAGCTTAAGCATTGAAAACTTACTTTTACCTGACGAAATGGTTTCGTCTAAAATGGTGTTTTCTTGTAGTGATATCAAGTAAACTCCATAACAATAATCTTTTGAATTTTTGCCCTCTTAGCTATGTATGGAAGTACAAAGTGACACAACTATTTATAGACGGGTAATGCTTGACAAAGGAATACGTATAGGGTGGACTAATATATATATATAATATATGTGTGTGTCCATAAATTCCTTACCACATCAACCTTGACCCATTGGAATCTATAAATTTGAATTTGTCTAAATTCCCATGGCTACACCAAATTCTTTACAAACACTTATCAGCTGCTAATTATTAAACTGACCAACTATGATTAGTGTGATGAGCTGAAGGATACAAAATATGTGTTATATAATTATGGTTGTTTAGTAAAACTATAACACAGCTAATGTTTCTCTCGCCGATCTTTTCTCACAATCTAGTAAGTGGACTAAATGATTTAAGCAGTTAGTGAAAGAACATATGTAGCTTGTAATTTGACTAATTTCCCCATGTTCGGAGAAATTTCACAGGCCTTTGTAAGATTTCACTTTAACAAAGAGAGCTCCAATAACCTTCTAAAACATTTAAGCAAAGCACATATCACAAAAAATGAACCTGAATGGGGAAGATCATCATAAGCTAATATGGACCATGTATAAAAGAGATAAATAGGAATTAAGGATGTGTGAATGGATACCAAGCAACTAAAAAGCTTCTAATGGGTCTTTTCCTTCAAATAATGATTGATAAGAAACAACCATTCTTCATGAGGAAGCAGGTAATGTATTGTGCACCCTAATCTATTGTCCTAACAACGATAATACATAGAAATTTATGGTGCCCCATTGCACGTATGCAGCAGGCTTTTAAGCATATCAATATTTGCATAAGAAGAACCAACAAACAGAGAGACGAAACACCTAAATTTACAACAATTAGTCTTGTGAAGCCAAATGGGAGGGAGTGTGTTGAGAATGAGTTCCACGTCAATGAGAGGAGGAACCTTGCATAAGTTTGTAAGAAGTCAAGTTACTCCTCGTATTACCAATTAATTTTATAGTAAAACCTCACATTTTTTCAAAATGAAAGTTTAACAAAAAAAAAAAAAGGGATAAAAAACACCTAAATTTACAGAGATAATTTAAAACATGTAAATAAGAAATTGAAAAGTAATCTGCAATTTGGTTTCTTCAGAAGCAATGAGCAAAAGAAAACGGGAGAATGAGACCAACACAGAAAAGAAAACATCCTTTTTACCCCTAAGTTGTGCGCGATGTCCTACTTCCTTCCCTTCTTCGTTTTGGCAGCCTTCCCCTTCATTCCTTTCATTCTTCGTATTTTCTCCCCCCGCGCTGTCTCACTTTCAGAGTCTGTAAGACTCACTCACGACTCAGCAGCTGTTCAGCCTGACTCGTGCCTCATCTCAGCCTCACTCAGTCCTTCCTCTACGTCGACCACTCGCCCACCTCGCACTCACCCTCGCGGCCCACAAGCTTCCTCTCGCCGTTTCGAGTCTCGACAGCCCACCTTGATTCCTCGATTCCAAAAGGTTAGTCTTTCTGCTGGATTAAAATTTGGATCCACAACTATAGTTGGTCTTTCTACTGATTAAAATTTGGATCACAACTGTGTTTTTTCCGATTAGGGATTTGAATTGGAAACCTTATCTGTCATTTCTGCTTTGACAGTTTTGTTTCTCTATTTGTAAATATGAATTCATCACAGAAAAACACAAAATGGTTTTGTTATTTACCATTAATTTTCTTGTTAAAATATGTCAATAATACGAAGGAAGTTTTAATGAAAAGTCCGCGGTACTATTTACTTTAACGAAAAATCATATTTTTACATTAAAAAGTCAAATATGGTAATATTCACTTTACATTTTATTTTGTCCTTATCGTTAAAACTCAAAGTTTTCAAGCTCTTTTCATTAATTTTACTTAATATGAAAGGTTTTGTTATTCGCCAAAGTGGGACTTTCGCCTTCACCTCTTCACATGTACCAATCACTTGTTTTTTCCCAATAATTTTCTTGTTAAAATATGTCAATAATTTTGAAAAATGGTACATAAAAGTACTCTTGTAAAGTTATGATATCTTCACGTGAAAATGTTTTTTTGCAAGAATAAAAGGTGTATTGTCCTTGCACGACAAAAGAGAAATTAAGTTACTGATAAAACACAAGTTTTAGGGCTAACGACAATGATGTTTTCTGTATCTGCGCTTCAAGTCCACCAGCCCTTTTGCATTTGTTGCCTATTGCACAACTGATGTATTCAGTTTACAAGTTGTTCCTACAAAACCAGTTCCCCTGTAATCCACGATTCTTATTCATTCTCTCCGATGATTGGAACAAAAAGTTGTACAAATTTCGTAGCTCTGGTTTTAGAATTTTAGACAATCCTTGCTATACACATTATTCTTAAATATGTAACTGTTCTACAAGTATTCTTAGTTACTAAGGCATAGGAAAGTTTCGATTTCATTTGATTGAAAAGATTTGTCTCCAATTAATCGAAGGGTTATTATACAAAATAGTCCATGAGATTTTTATGATCAATAGAAATTCTCTAATATTAAAAATCAATATAAATGGCCCCTGAGATTGTTCATTATCCATGATTTTGGTCATTTCATTAAAACTTCTTTGGGCAATTTTCAAAACTTCGTAACTCAATCGATTCTTAACCAAATTCGACTCATAATATATCAAAATGAAAATAAAAAAGTTTAGAACAAGATTATACCTATTTGGAAGCCCAATGATTGCCAGAGATGACTGGAAAATAGCCTGAAAGGTGACTGGTCCACCGGAAAACTGGAAAACTCGCCGGAAACTGGGTAAACTTTAAACATTTATAACTTCTTCAATACTCAACGAAATCGAGTGATTCAAAAACAAAAATTTAGATTTCATTTGATTGAAAATATTGTCTCCAATTAATCGAATGAATAAGAATCCTTTCAAATGAAAATAGCTGCTTTCATTCTAATTTCAGAAAATCCAAATCCATGAAAACATGCAGCACTCTACTATCTTTATTTATATTACTTTCTATCTCCATTTAATTGTTAAAGAAACTCGACGGTACAAGCAAACTGATATAACATAAAAATAATATGATACATAGGGCAGAGTTTTGAACGTGAACAACAATCAACTAAAAGCTAAAAAGCATCAATACATTCTATCTCTTTTTTCAAAAGAAATCTCGACGGTACAAGGAAAAATTTATTGAATAAACAAAAGAAATTACACCTAGTCTTGGGGGGATATAAACCTTGCCTCTCAAAATAAAGAGAAACGTAAGAAAAGAAACCGAAAATACAAGAAAATAGGAGGGACATACACTTACATATCCTGATACAAACTTATAACTAAACATATAGAAAGTGAAGGAAAGAAACCACAATAGAGAAAACAAACGACAACAAGAAATGTGTAACATTGTAACAAACCGAATTTCTACGCCCCCATTAGTACTCTAAATTTTCATTATCATTTGCCTGACCATTCCAACAATCTTAAGAAACAAGTCAGACCTCCTTGTGATCACAACATCTGCAAGAACTACTCCCACTACCAACCCACTTCAACATCCGGCTGAAACAATTTTCCAATCAAATTCAAATATTCCTGCTGAGCTAGAATCACCTTCGTCCACGGTTGAAGGTGGAAATGGAGGGGCCTTAGGATTTCCACATTTCTTTGGCAATGGATCTCCACACAACCCTGGGTTTCCCTCATATGAAGTGATATTCAATGTAGTAAGTTGGCTACCTTGTGGTATAAGACCTGTGAGATTGTTGGGAGACACATTGAAATTGGCAAGAAAAGTAAGTTGCCTCAGTTGTTGGGGGATCCGTCCTGAGAGCTTGTTTTGTGAAAGGTCCAACAATTCAAGTTTCATCAAGTTTCTGAAGGATGATGGGATAGAACCAGTGGGAATGTTGTGGGATAGACTCTGCGAACAAGGCTCCTTAAGATTCCCAATGAATTCTGGAATTTTCCCTTCAAATTTTTTGCTCGAGATATCAAAGGATGAAAATTCTTCTCGGATCTTTGGGTAGTATTGCTCCAAACATTTTGTTGCTATTGTGAGTTGGTACTCAACACTGTTAACAATCGTGAATCCATTGACATCATAAACTACGTCTGTGTACATATATGTTGACTTATTTATGGTAATATCTGGAAATACAGACGGAACCGCACCAGTAAAATCATTGTAAGCCAAATCAAGAATGCGTAACTTGGGGAAATCGACATTCTTTCTAGACTTTCCAATCACACCATAGAATCCATCATGGCATATTGCCAAAAGTTTTAACTCCAAAAGAGTCCCCAACCAAATGGGAAAAACATCATTGAATTGATTGTTTGACAAAACAAGATACTCAAGCATTACACAATTGGCCAATGACCTCGGCAACTGCCCTTGCAATTTGTTATGACTCACATCAATCATTCTCAAACTGCTTCCTTTGTTGTATGTCTGAGGAATAATTTCGTGAAAACAATTGTTTCCAAGAAGTAAAAGATTCAGATGATCACTAAAGTTTCCGAGACACTGAGGAAGCATGCCACTCAAGTTATTTTTCGACAAGTCAAGGTATTGAAGATTTTTCATATTGCAAAGCAACGGTGAGATTTCTCCGGTAAAGTTGTTGTCTGGATGAAAACCTTACACATAACAGTTTCACCCAAGGAATGACAAGTGGAGGTTGGTCTGAAATGAAGTTATTAGAAATGTCTAACAATAGCAAAGTTTCTATGATTGTGTTCCACATCCATTTTGGTACTTGGCCCCGAATTTTGTTTATAGAAAGGTCCTAACGCTCCAAACTTTTCTGATATTGTAAGAAAGATGGAAACTCTCTTATGTTGCAAGAACTCAATCCTAGGACAGTGAACTGCAGAACTGTTGAATTTGCAATTCGTGGATTCAGTGACAAATTCTAAAATGTTCCAACTTAATTGGAGTTGGTAAAGAAATTGTAGATTTTGAAATTGTAAACATGAAAATTTCCTCCTTCGAATGAGACAAGAACGCGTGTACAAAATAATATTTTGTATTAATTTTGGGGTTACAATCACTTTTACAATTTGATACTCTGATTCTATCTTCGTAAGATGTAGATTTGTAGGTGGGCAGTTGATCCAAAAGGTCATCGGGGCTTGATCTAGGGATGAACAAGGATGAATGGACCTTCAAGGGCCTTCAGGGCTTGAACTTGATGAACGAGGATGAACAGATCTTCAAGGGCCTTTGGGGCTTGATCTTGATGAAAGATGATGATTGGATCTTCAAGGGCATTCGAGGCTTGATCTTGATCTTGATGAATGAGAATGAACAGATCTTTAAGGGCCTTCGGGGCTTGATCTTGATGAACGAGGATGAATGGATCTTCAAGGGCCGTTGGGCTTGATCTTGATGAACAGTTGGGAGCTGCGGTTGGGAGCTTCTTCAAGTACCGTCGGGGCTTTATCTTGAATGAGTGGTTGGGAGCTTCTTCAAGGGTCGTTGGGGCTCGATCTTGAATGAGCGGTTGAGAGCTTCTTCAAGGGTCGTCGGGGCTTAATCTTGAATGAACGGTTGAGAGCTTCTTCAAGGGTCATCGGGGCTTGATCTTGAATGAGTGGTTGCCTCAAGGATTTGGCTTGCGGCAAAGGAAGAATCGGCACGTGACCAAAGTGCTAGTTGATTCTTCAAAGGTTTTGGCGAAGAACGAAGAGAGCTTTCTCGATCTTTTGGAATTCCTGAGAATTTGGGGAGTTGGATGCTTGAGAGCTTTATAGTGTATTTGTCTTGTCATTGTCCAAAATGAGAAGAAAAAACTTGTTTTGATCCATAATGGATTGAAGTGTGTTTGCCTTGTCATTGCCCAAAGTGAGAAGAAAATTTTGTTTAATCCTCCAAGGGTATTTCTTCCTATTTTGTTGAGTCACACGCCATGTGTAAAATTTATGTGACATGTGAACGTTGAAATTTTAATGCATTGGTCAACATTTATTTCACCGAAATTTCGATGTCTACATAAACATTTGAACCTCCACTGCACCACTCAGACTATTCCAATGTAGATAAAGGATCTGAAGGTTTGTGAGATTTGAACCATTAAATCTATTATAAGCAAAATCTAGGTACTCTAGTTTGCTAAAGTTGCCTAGCCAAGATGGGATTGGACCAGTTAATCAACTGGAACAAATCCTAAAAGTAGCCAATTGGGTAAGGTTTGCCAAGGAATCAGGAATTGGACCACCATAACTTTTGGCTGAAATGTCTAGATAAGTGAGCTCACTGAGCTGCCTAATATTCCCAAGTGAAGATGGAACCAACCCTTCTGAAAAATTGCATTGAGCCATATCTAATTTTTGCAGTGAATCAAGGTTTTGAATAAGAGAGTATGGTTCCAAAAAAGCCAGTAAAGCCGACTTTCAATAAGATGAGAGGACTGCTTCGATTAAAGTCAGCAAAATATCCAGTCAATTCTTGGTTGTATCTCACACTAAGAAATTTTACGTTTGGTAGTTGGAAAATTCTCACCAGAGATCACCAAATAGGTGACAGTCCCTGAGGTAGAGGGATGTCAAAGATGATAAATTAGCCATGGAATGAGGAATTGCCGAAGATACGTTTACGAACTGAGAGAAAGTACTTCGAGACTAGTTAAGTTTTGAACTAGGCTTCCAAGATCTGATGCTTCAAGTTTCAACAAAGGATGATCCTTATCTTCAGACAATCTATCGAGATTGACAGCTAGATTAAGGTATGTCAACTTGGATAACAGTGAAACTTCAGAAGGGACTTGACCAGAAAAGACAGAGGTAGAGAGGTCAAGATGAGTAAGGCTTGGAAAATTCCTAATGCTAGGAGGAATTTGAGAGTAATTGAAGTTATTGTCAGAGAGGTTTAACCTTGGAAGATGAACAAGGCGGAAGAGGCTGCTTTCCATGATGAAACCTTTGGATAAGCATCGATAGATCTAGAAGCAGATATGTCAATAGTAAAGCTGTCTTTGGATTGCAGCAGGGCGGACTTCTCCTCATCAGGGCAAGATGGATAATGCTTCTGCGAAGAGTGGGAAGAGTTAACAATAACTATATGATTAAACAGCAACAAAACTAGTACTAGTTTTGAAACCATGCGAATGATGGAGATATCAAGTAACCCCATAACAACAATCTTTTGAATTTTTATTTTTTTTATTTTTTATTTTAAAGCTTTTAGGCCATCTCCAACCGAATGAGGATCAGATAGCTCATTTTAGTCTTATAGCCCTTTAAGAAATTATATTTTAATGAATAGTGTCATACCATATTTCTTACCATCACCAACTGAAGGAGCCAAAGGGCCATAGGCCAAACATAGCCTCTTGACAAAAAATCATCTCCAACCGAGGGGACCAAATGGTCATAGGCCAAACATAATTTATTATTTTAATTGAATTAATATAGTTACTTAAATTAAAAACTACAATCATTATCTTAAAGATTCAACTACTTAAATTTAAAAACTACAACTAAAATTAAAATGCTACAACTTCAATTTAAAGACTACAACAACTTAAATTTAAAAACTACAACTTAAATTTAAAAACTACAACTTAAATATTAAAGACTACAACAATTTCAAGACTATAATCATCATCTTCATCCGCCATTGTAGGAGTATAGTCGGATGATGTAAACAACTCCCGTCAGGCCATAATTTCTCTCTTTTTCCTATCAAAATATGTCTTACTCATTGGAGTGTAATCCGAAGTGTTCATTTGCATGTTCCTACCATCCATCTATTCTTGTATTTGTTTTGCCCATTCTTCGTGCCTACGGTTCCTTTCTTCTGCGGCAAGGGCATTTTTCTCTGCCAGTAATTGCAATGAGGACACAATTTCCTATTGACAAGCTAAATCATCCATTGCCTTGCCCTTTTCCTTCAATTTTCGGGCCTTGTTTTGTCCCGTAGCCCTAGGGATGGAAGATTCACTCGGAGACGGATTTTCTACCCTTGTTTCTTGAATGATAGGAGATTCTTGTTGAGGTGGATCAAATCTTTCTTGAGGTGGATCTTGAAATAACACACACCCTTTATAAATTTCCCAACAACCATGATGAGTAAAGGGGTTTTTTCATTTCCTTCATATACAATTCCTTCGCTTGGCGTACCTAGAAAATATAATTACAAAAATTAAAGGAAATTAATTTATGAAATTAAGATTAGCATGTGAAATTAATTTATGAAAACACTTACTTCGTCGTAGTAATTGGCTCTGCTTTCATGTCTGCTTTCGGCCGCAAGCACTGCTTGATGTCATTTATTCAAACTTGGTTGAAGATGTTTTCTTCCTTTTGAAGAACAACTCTAGTGGTTTCGGGGATTCGGTGGAGTGGTGTCTTCGTATAATTCGTAGTACTTTTTAGACCCATCTATAAGTTTTGCAAAGAGCTTCATCTTCTTTTCGGGTCCAAGCCCTTCCTTTCATTGCATATGTGGTTATTTGAAAATTATTGAAAAAAATTGAAGGAAAGATTATTGGAAGAGGTAAGAGAATAGAATGTGAAGAATTGAAGCTCTTTGAGGTAAGATAATATGGAATGGTGAAAATTATGTGAGAAATGATGTAAGAATAACTTAGGTATTTAAAGGAAAAAAATTATTTTTTTTTATTAAAAAAATTGTACCAAAAAAAAAATTCAAATCCAACGTCTACCTGGCGTCAGCATGACGCCAAGTAGCCGTTGGGTTTGGATTTTGGGCCGACCCAGGGCTGGCTAGCTAGCTGAGGAGGGCCAGCCAGTTGGCACAATTTCATATTTTTGGCCCGGTGGGGCTCACGAGCCATTTGGCTTAGTCCTCGGTTGGAGACGGTTTTTGTGACATTTCGAGTTTTTTTAGCCCTTTGGCCAGGTCGGTTGGAGATGACCTTAGTTATGTATGAAATGCAAAGTAACACAACTATTTATAGAATGGCATCAGTATAAAATTCTTTCGCAAATTACTTTAGTCTAAAGTAGGGGAACTGCACTGTGCAATTTTGCCTCAATTTCACTTTATTTATGAGTTTGCCACCGGGCTGATTTCAGCCCAAAGTTTGCTTCATTTACAAGATTGCCATTGGGCTTAACAACGGGTCTTCATTCTTTTGGCTGGATCTGGGCTTTTGACTCGGGGAGAGAGAGGTAAGGGCGACAGAATGGTTGAGAGGAAGACATTCGCCGGGATTTAGGGGAGTGGATTTTCAGGATGGACATGCGGGTGGATGTCCTGTGGGTGATGCATCGATCAGAGGGTTGTTGGGGGGAGGAGAGGAGAGGAACAGAGGGACTGATGGATTGGAGAGAGATGGGAGCCGGCTCAAAGACTCTGCATTTCTCACTTTCTCTTCTCTCAGACCACTTCTCTCTCTTCCATCTCTCTTCCATCTCAATGCGAAGGGTTGCGGAAAGCCGGTTCTCCGGCCGATTTGAGGTGGTAATAAGCTACTTATGATGAATCCTATGCTATTATGTTTCTTTGAACCACTATGCTATTATGTGGTTTATCTTTATAAAGAGGAATTCTTTTGAAATCTTTCGTTGAACTATTATTGATGAATCCTATTGTAATAAGTAATTTTTTGTCTGTTCATCGTAGAACTATAGGGAGGGAGAGAGAGAGATAGGGATTTGGTGAGAGGAAGGCATGCGGCTTGCAGGCAGACAGAGTCACAAGGGTGTACGATTCGAAAGAGAGGGGATTGAGTGGTGACGCTCGATTTGGGAAGAGAAAGAGAGGGAGAGCGCGATTATGGGGTTAGGCGACGGCGGGAGAGAGGGCGAGGGTTGTTGCATCCATGTCACTCAGAGTGGGTTACGTGAGAGTCAGAGTGCTGCGTTCTTGGGTTTGAGAGTTGATTTTGAGAAAATGATCTATTCCATCTCTGCTTCGTGATCCCTTTGATCCATGCTTCCTCATCTTTTCGATCTTCTTGGCCCCTCATCCTGCACCCAATTTCTCTAGCCTTTAAGAGGTAATTAAATCTCACTTCTTCTCAACTACCCAGAAGCCAAATATTTGATTTTTCGTTGTGGTTTGTTACTTTACCGAATTTGGTTATTGATATTTCGTTTTTTTTATGGTCCATTTGTGTTTTCTTGGGGTTGTATTTTTGCTAGAATTTCATAAAATTTGATTTGGCTGGGTAACCGATTGGCTTAAAATTGTTGTGAGATTGAATATTTCTTGAATTTGATCATTAGATTTCTTTTTTTTTTTTTTTTGGAAATTGACGTGTTTTTCCCATTCATAGCCAAAACAAACCCGTGCTTCCTCCCTTTTCGTCTTCTCCTCTCACAATTTGCGCCTTTAGTTCTCAACTGGATTCACAGTAAACGCCTATAAATTTAGAGGTACGAAAATATTAATTTTTTTTTCATGTTTTTTATTTATTTTTAGTGTTAATTTCTGATTAAATTATTATTTTTGATACCCACATAGAATCTGATGGGTTTGCTTGGATTCCAGAGTAAAAACCTTGAAACTTAAAGGTATGAAAATTTCATTTTATTTTTTATTTTTTGTGTTAATTTCTGATTAATATTATTCTTCATAAATCCACTTAGAATCTTGATCTGAGTTTTGCTTAAACTCATCTTGGGGTTTTATAATTTTTTTGTTTTATAATTTTCTGGTGCACATGTGATTAAATACAACTGAATTTGATTTTATCCACAAGTGCATATCTGATCCTGTAGTGCTCAATCTAGAGAATTGGTACTCATAATCAATAAGATTCATACTGCTTATTGGTATCAATTTTGGTTGCAGCAATGCTATTCTTGCTGAAGACCTGCCATGTAAGTGATTCAGATTGTAGTAATGTCGTACAAGTTAACACTTTTGTGTGGAATTGGTGCAACTTTTGGGGTTTGTGCGATGTTATTTTGATTAGTTATTGGCTAAAATTTGGTTCTTTTGATTTGGGTCTGGTGAAATTGTTTCAACAGTTGGGCGGGATTGGTGTTCAGGGATATTATGGTTTTCTAAGGTTTTGATAGGGTTGTCATGAATGGAGGATGTTAATGAAGTAAATGAACATGCTTATCTTTGTAGGCTTGACTTCTGAACACAAGGCCTACTCTTTTCAATTGTTGGGGAAGGGTTTCTTAATTTTTATTTCTATTTGTGTGTGTTGAATTTTGAGTTATTTTGCGAGCAATTGGCTGTGTTGATGCACAAAACCGGAAGGGGTTTTGGAACAACGTAAATCCTACCATGAATCTGCAAGAAAGTAAAGAACACAAGATGTATCGTGGTTCACCCCAATGTTTGGGCTACGTCCACACTGATTATTGTATTTCTCTGAGATGTTAAAGAGGGAGAGAGGGAGAGAGGGAGAGAGGGAGAGAGAGCTTCCTTATGTGAGGATGAGCTTCTTTGAATATGAGATGGGATGTGAGGCCTCTCTAATTGTGAGGGTGAGGGGTCCTTTTATAGAATAAAGGCTCCTCACTTATTACATATTTGCCGCTTCCCTTATTACATAATTACATTTAAGTCCCCCGAGTATTTATACGAGGTCTAAATACGGAGGCCCTAAGTATGGTATAAACAGTAGTCCCCCAAGTCTTCAGTCAAGAGAGTCTTTTGGCTGGAGACTTGAAATTCAGTCCATGTGTGGGCCGAAGTAACTAGATGTCGTCTAGAACTGATACTCGATATGAGGCGGTGCTCAATTTGAAATGATGCTCAACTAGAAGTAGCACATGTTGCGAGGCTGCTCTGCTTGTGGCTTATGTTGCCTTGGTTGGCTCGGCTTGTGGCGTTGAAGGTGAATAAGTCCATTTTATAGAATAAGGGCTCGCTCCTCAATACATAAGTGATGGGTTAGGAGTGATGCTCGCGGCGATGCGGTTGCTCAGCTGGCGGCGATGCTCTCTAATGATGGTGAGGGAGTCCCTTTTATAGAATAAGGGCTCGCTCCTCAATACATAAGTGATGGGCTAAGAGTGATGCTCGCGGCGAGACGGTTGCTCAGCTGGCGGCGATGCTCTCTAATGAAGGTGAGGGAGTCCCTTTTATAAAATAAAGGCTCGCTCCTCAGTACATGAATAATGGGTGCTCTCTAATGAAAGTGAGGGAGTCCCTTTTATAGAATAAGGGCTCGCTCCTCAATACATAAATAACGGACTAAGTCCCCCAAGTTTTTTTTCATGAGTGCTTTCTAATGAAAGTGAGGGAGTCCCTTTTATAGAATAAGGGCTCGCTCCTTAATACATAAATAATGGGCTAGAGTCCCCTAAGTATTTTTCATGAGGCCTAATATATGATACATAATGTAGTCTCCCAAGTCTTCGGTCAATAGAGCCTGTTGGCTGGAAACTTCAAATTGAATCCATGTATGGGTCGAAGTGGCGGTTGTTCGGAGGCGGTATTTGTATACCCTACACTGAAGCTTTGTAGGTGAAGCTTTGCAAGTGAAGCTTTGAAGCTGGAGCTCTGTAAATGAAGCTTTTGAAGCGAGAGCTTTTGTAAATGAAGCTTTTGAAGCTAGAGCTCTATAAATGAAGCTTTTGAAGCTAGAGCTTTTGTAAATGAAGCTTTTGAAGCTGTAGCTTTGTAAATGAAGCTTTTGAAGCTAGAGCTCTGTAAATGAAGCTTTTGAAGCTGATTGAATGAGTGATGCTCATGAATGTTTATGTTGATTGACATGAGTGATGCTCATGGATGTTGACATGAGTGATGCTCATGAATGTTGACATGAGTGATGCTCATGAATGTTTATGTATGATTGATATGAGTAATGCTCATGAATGTTTATGTATGATTGACATGAGTAATGCTCATGTATAATTTGAAGTACTGGGCGTATTTTTGATCACCTGGTTGGTGATAATAGCGGCAGGCTGCCGAATAATTTTGGAGTACTGGGCGTACTTTTGGTCACCTGATTGGTGCTATTTTAGGCTTATGGGCCTTCGCCCTCCACACAACATTCCAGCCCATTTATTTTGGGCTTTGCCTTTTTTTATTTATTATTATTTTATTTTTTTTATTACCCTCTGATGGGGTTTATATAGATGTCTCCGAAAGATAAGAAAAATAAATCACATCATACAAAAACAAGAAAAGTAAATCACATCATTCTGGTGGGGTGTTTATTCCTTACTTTTGCTTTCTCTTTTGCTTTCTGCTTTTGTTTTTGCTTTCATTTTCTCCTTTCTTTTCTGCTTTTGTTTCTCCCACTCCTGTTCTTTCTCTTTTCTCTTTTGGCAGATGGCAGACAATAATAATATGATTAATAATAAAAACTTATCTTATTCGTTGCAAACCAATCAGGTTGGGAAGAGGACCACTGCAAATCCAGGTATCATTGCCGTGACGCCACGCTGTACTGATGCACAGTCAATATGCCTGTAGCCATTCTTGACTGCAGCGATGACAGCTTGACCGACCACGCCTGGTTCAGCCTTCCATGTTCCAAGACCAACAGGTGGGATCTTAGCTCCCGTATTCAGATCAAAATACAAAGTTTCAGATTTGTTTTCGCCCATCTTCTTCATCATTTGGGCATAAACCATTGCCCTGTGGTAGTGCTCCTTCATTCTCAAATTGGAGGTTTGCTCATCCAACTTCTCATTTTCAGCTTGATCTGCCGGTAAACCGACAGCAGTTGAACTGGTTTTGGATGTTACCTTCTGAGAGCTGGGAATTGCAGCTAGAACGGCACAAAGCAAGCCCACATAGTTCTTATACCGAACTCGAGCCTCCTCAAGAGCTCCTCCGCTGAAAACAAAAAAGTCACCCACACGGAAAATGGCGCGAGCAGCCCATGCTTGGAGGTTGGAGAAGAGATCCTAACCGAAAGCTCCACCCACATAGTGGTTGGTGTTGGCGGCAAAGACGTCCTCCTCCGTGACGGAGTTGAGGTTGTGAATGGAGGATTGAATCGTCGGCGACGACTGGGTCCTCGTGAGCTTTGCGTGGCTTTTCTAACCGTCCATATGAGAGAAATTGTACTGGGGGTTAGCAGCCAACCCCGGATTTGTAAAGTCTCTATATCCTTCCTCCAAAACGTGCATTCACGGCTTCACTGAGATTTCCTCCGTATTCCAATCCGGCACCAGCATTATCTAGGAAAAATGCGACGTCCTGGTATTGTTCTTCCTGTATAGCTATATTGAGATGAGAAATGACTCTGCCAACTATTGAGAAATGATTTCATTACATTATAATTAGTTACACTGAGGTATTTATATAAACTAGATTTACATAGGTAAAGAGAATAGTTACAGTGGTAACTATTTGTAACTATTCTAACAACTAACTAACTTGACTAACACTAATGTTTTACAATGGTAACTTGCTCTTCACACCCCCTCAAGCTGAACGGAGAAGGTTGAAGTGAAAGCTTGGATCGAAGATGAAGAAAACGTGGCCTTGGCAGAGATTTGGTGTGAATATCCGCTAATTGATCCACACTGCAAACAAATTTGACAGTAAGAAGCTTAGCCAAAACAAGCTCACGGATGTAAATGATAATCGATTTCAACATGCTTTGTGCGAGCATGAAAAACCGGATTTGAAGCCAAGGCAATTGCAGAAACATTGTCAAACCAAATTTGTGGCAAGAAGGACAACTTGAAACCAATATCAGAGAAGAGTTGACAGATCCAAGTGATCTCAGCAGCGGTATGTGCAAGGGAGCGGTACTCAGCTTCGGTAGAGGATCGGGCAACTGTGTGCTGTTTCTTTGCACTCCAACTAACTAGACAAGGACCAAGAAAGATGCAAAAGCCACCAGTGGAATGCCTATCCCACGAACATCCTGCCCAGTCAGCATCGGAGTAGGCGTTGAGAAGTAGGGGAGATGGGGTTTTGGGAAACCATAAACCAAATCCAAGTGTCCCTTTTAGATACCGAAGGATGCGTTTCACGGCTTGAAAGTGAGGCTCCCGGGGAGAGTGCATGAACTGACACACCAGATTAACCGCAAAGGATAAATCAGGCCGGGTCCATGTAAGATATTGGAGGGCGCCAACAATAGAGCGATAGTCCTCGGGATTCGACAACAAGGAACCAGTGTGATCAAGCTTGACAGAACTAAGGGGAGTGGCACATGGCTTTGCCCCATCCATTTTGGTACGCTTGAGAATATCCAATATGTATTTGGATTGATGAATGAAGGCTCCTGAGGGGGATTTCTGAATTTCCAGACCTAGAAAGTAATGAAGATCGCCGAGATCCTTGATTGGAAATTTAGAGCTCAACTGAGAAATAATGGTGTTGCAAACACTAGAAGAAGGTCCGGTCACTATGATATCATCGACATACACAAGAACCAAAACCAAGGTAGGTTGATGCAACACAAACAGACTATGATCAGAGTGTGAAGCTTGAAATCCCATGGAGAAAAGAGCAGAATGAAGTTTTTCATACCAAGCACGAGGGGCTTGCTTTAAGCCATATAAGGATTTCTTCAAGTGACAGATATGAGTAGGATGATCCTGATCAATGAACCCAGGTGGTTGAGCCATATATACATTCTCTTTCAAAGAACCATGTAGAAAAGCATTGCTTACATCCAGCTGGTGTAAAAACCAGTTTGATTGGACGGCAAGGGTGAGAATGATGCGTATAGTCACAGGTTTAGCAACCGGGCTAAAAGTATCACCATAATCAATGCCCTCTTGCTGATTGTAACCTTTTGCAACGAGTCTAGCCTTGTAACGATCCACAGAACCATCTGGTTTCCTCTTAATCCGGAAAACCCATTTACAGCCAACCAAATTATGAGTGGAGGTAGAAGGAACAAGCTGCCAAGTGTCTGTACTTTGTAAAGCATTGAATTCATCCTGCATAGCAGCCCTCCACTGTGAATGTTTGGAAGCCTGGAGATATGTAGTAGGTATAAACTCACTGTCAAAATGAGAAGGCAGAGGATGTGTTGTGGCAGTAAGGGCCTTAGGTTTGTATATGCCTGACTTAGAGCGGGTTTGCATTGGGTGAACAGAGGAAATATGAGGTACAGGATGTGGTGCAGGGTGTAGAGAAGGAGAGGCTAGTAGAGGAGAAGAGGGAGGTGAGGGAGGTTGCAGAGGTGCAGGACAAGGAGTAGGAGAATGAACGTGCTCAGGTTGAGTAACTTGCTCAGGTTGAGTAACTGGCGCAGGTTGAGGAGGGGAGGAAGATATGGGTGGTGGAGCACGGAAAGTGAAAGAATGAGGAGAATAAAGATTGGGAAAGGTAAGGGAAAAAAGTGAGTAAGGTTCTGGGGTATGGGGAGTGGAGGACTTTAGAAGGTGGGGATCATGAAAGGGAAATGTATGTTCATCAAAATGAACATGTCTAGAGAGATAAACCCGATTAGTGAAGGGATCTAGACATCTATACCCCTTGTGAGCTAAGCTGTAGCCAATGAAAACACACATCTTGCTCTTGGGATCTAATTTGGAATTGGTGTATGGTTTTAACCAAGGAAAGCATTGACATCCAAATACCCGAAGAGACTTGTAATCTGGAACTTTCTTGAAAAATTGTTCCCAAGGGGAAGACTTGTTGACTGGAGGTAGGCGATTGATAAGATAGACTGCAGTAAGAAAACCTTCAACCCATAATTGGTGAGGAACTTGTGAGGCAATAAGGAGGGTTCGAGCAGTCTCAACAATATGTCTGTGTTTCCTTTTAGCACAACCGTTTTGCTGAGGAGTGTATGGACAACTGAATTGTTGCTGAATGCCATGGAAAGACAAATGATGCTTGAAGTTAGAACTTGTAAACTCACCCCCTGAGTCTGATCGTAAAGTGCCAATTTTGTAACCAGACAAATTCTCAACAAGAGCTTGGAATTGTACAAAACTGTGAAACACTTCCGATTTATGTTTGAGAGGATACAGCCAAGTATATTTGGTAAAATCATCTACAAATATGACATAAAAGCGGTAGCCACTAACAGAACATACTGGAGCTGGCCCCCAAACATCCGCATGAACTAATTCAAGAGACCTAGAAGTAGTACAGAGAGATTCTTGAAATGGTAACTTGGCACATTTGCCTAAAACACAATTGGAGCAGAAGAATTGTTGAACATTATTAGAACCAGGCAGTATAGACTTGGATAACAGTGATCGAAAAGTCTTGAACGTTGGATGACCCAAACGTTGATGCCATACATGAGAAGAGGTCCTTATTGCAGAATGAGCATGAACCTTCGGTGCAGGTGAAGAAGAAGCATAAAATGGATAGAGACCATTGTTGACAGGAGCTCTAAAAAGCATCCTCCCCGTAGTAAGATCCTTGACATGGAAGTCAAAAGGATTGAGGGTTAATGAACACCAATTATCACGCAAGAACATATTGGCAGAAAGAAGATCATGCTTCAAGTGGGGAACATGTAACACATTCTTTAATTGAAAATCTGCAGAAGGTGTTTTAAGTAAAGTAGAACCAGTATGGAGAATTGGCAAACCTTGGCCATCTCCAATGTAGACTTTATCTGGACCAGTATAGGGCTGTGGATTCTGAAGATGATGAATATTATTAGTCATATGTGAGCTTGCGCCGGAATCCAGTAGCCATGGTGGTGGAGAAGAAGTACTAGAAGATGCATACATCGCAAGTTTGGCTGGCGAACACGGCCTTGAAAAGTTGGATTCATGCGGTGGGAACAGTCAATGGCAAGATGTCCAGTGTCCTCACAAATTTGACACGGAATGACTGCAGAAGTGAAAGAACGGAAGCCACGATTTCCACCTCGATTTCCACCACGATTAGTTGAGGAATTATTAAACCGATTTGAACGATTACGGTTGTTGTAGGTCATTTGAGAAGTGTTCCGCTGAAAATTACCGCGATTATTGCCAGGGTAATAATTCTGAGAACCATTAGACTGAGCATTGTAGGCCTGATGTGGTGGAGGTGTAGGAAGCAAAGGAGGAGCATTGGAAGCTGCTGGAATAGAGGTGAATGCCTGATACGGTTCAGAGGAACCCTGAGATTGCTTGCGACGAGCAAGAGCCATTTCTTTGCTGAGAAGAAATCCATGTAGATCATCAACAGTAGTATCAGCAAGACGAAATTGAATTGAATCCACGAAGGAATCATAGTCATCAGGCAAGCCATTAAGAATGAGGTGAAGGAGATCCGACTCCTCAACTAGGGCACCGGCAGCAGCGAGAGCATCAGAAACTTCTTTGATGCGTTGCAAATATTCAGATATTGTGGAAGTGCCTTTCGACATCAATTGCAAATTCGATCGCAGCTGATGAATGTGAGAACGAGAGACTCCACCGAATCGTTTCTCAAGATTTTGCCAAAGTTCACGGGAGGAGTGAACACCAACAGTAAAGGGAATCAAATCCTCAGAGAGAGTGGAATTGATCCAAATGAGGATGTTTTGATCATTTTCGTACCAGATCTCGAAGGCTGGATTCGGAATCGAGGACAAATTTCCAGAAAGATCAGCAAGAAATTGAGGCGGTGGCGGTTCAGATCCATCAACCATGCCGGTGAGCTTGTAGCGGCGGAAGATCGGTTCGAACAGATAACGCCAAACAAGGTAATTATGACGCTTGAGTTTTGTTTGAATCATACTCCCAATGTTTTGGATCGTGATGGAGTTGATTGAAGCTTGAAATGAGGAGTTAGGGTTCATCGGAGAAGGATTGAGATGTGGAGGCAGCAAAGAAGAAGGATCCGCGATTGCCGGAGAAGGAGGATGCGCAGCCACAGGAGAGGAAGAATTCGAAGAATTTGCCGCCATTGATGAACAAGATCGAAGATCTGCAGACGGAAGCTATGGTGTTTGGTAGGTAAGAAAATAAGCAAGAAAATAGCAGAAAGAGGATCGAAGTCGGTGGACTTAAGCGAGTGATACCATATTGAGAAATGATTTCATTACATTATAATTAGTTACACTGAGGTATTTATATAAACTAGATTTACACAGGTAAAGAGAATAGTTACAGTGGTAACTATTTGTAACTATTCTAACAACTAACTAACTTGACTAACACTAATGTTTTACAATGGTAACTTGCTCTTCACCAACGACGTCGTTTGTAGCTGTAGCAGCAATTGCAACCTTGAGCCTCGCAACATCCTCAAAGTCCTCTGCAGATACAGCCCGACGCAACTGCAACTTGAGAAGGGAGACAAGGCGCTCTTGTTGTTCGACCTTTAAAAAATGGCGGCGCCGGCGATCCCAGTCCCAATCAGGGTCGTGGGCTTGAAATGGTGCGGATTGGGCCTCTGCTTGTGGCTTAAAATTGAGGTAGGAATCGAAGTTTTTTATGGTAGTTTTGATGAGGTCCTGGAGCGCAGAGTCCCATCTCCACTGAGTTGAGTCGGAGGAGGAATAAGGGTTTTTCTGGCATCGACAGAGGGACGAGTCGGGAAACCTCGAGGAGGAGGTGGTTTGGGAATGGGAGGAAGGGTAGAATGGTCTTTTGGCGACGGAGGAAGGGTATGGTTTGGGGTTGGGGACGTTGAGCTTGTGAGGACTTGGGGTTGGAGCAGATACAGAAGCCATTGATACAGCAGAGAGAGGAAGGATATGTGTTTTTCTTGTTTTTTGTGTGATCAAAATTTACAGCGTAGATTGCCCTCAGAATAAAAGAAGGCAGACACGGAGTAGGTTTCTTTTTTGTTTCTGGGTTTTTGTGATTTTGCAGATTCATGGTGGAGGTGAAAAAATGAAAGAGAACCGACATAACTTTTCGTGTCGATTCCCAAGACGCCAAATGTTGATGCACAAAACCGGAAGGGTCTTGGAACAACATAAATCCGACCATGAATCTGCAAGAAAGTAAAGAACACAAGATGTATCGTGGTTCACCCTAATGTTTGGGCTACGTCCACACTGATTATTGTATTTCTCTGATAGAGAGAGCTCTGAAATATGAGAGTATTGTGAGGGAGAGAGCATCTGTAATGTGAGAGGGGATGTGAGAAGGTGAGGGGGCTTCAGGCCTAAGAGTTGGCCTCCCTTAATGAGGAGAGTGAGGGGTCCTTTTATAGAATAAGGACTCCTCACTTATTACATATTTGCCCATTCCTTTATTACATAATTACATTTGAGTCCCCCAAGTATGAGGTCTAAATACAGAAGCCCTAAGTATGGTACAAACAGGTTGCGAGGTAGAAGGAGAGGAAGGTGAGGTATACGGACGAGCTGGAGAGGAAGGTGCAGACACTTCAGACTGAGGCAACCACCCTATCAGCACAGGTCACTCTATAATAGGTATAAAATCTGTTATTGATTGTTTTTCCTTCTTGGTTAATTGAATAAAATTGTCGTTTATGATATTCAATCAATGGAAAATGTGACTTTCACATGCTCCAAGCCTCTGTCAATTATAGAGATCTCAATATGTATCTAAAATTTGCTTAAGACACTGGTGGAAAAATGTATTTAACATTTTACATTCATATGCATAGGCTCGACTTCTAAAAACGTATCCTGCAAAGCTATGCTTCACAAGTTTACAATGCCTGTCGAGTGTAGCACATACATTTGTGTTGTATAATTGTATTCGATAAGGATAATACTATCACTGCACCTTATTCCTTGACACTTTGGGCCTTCTTGAGTCTTCGTTGGAGTAGTGCAAATCAGTTTTCCAACTCAATATCATGGTCTTACTTGGTTGGTAATTTTTGGCATAATCCATTTAAAAAATTTAGTTGTTTTTGTTGTTGGTTATGTTTATTTGTCAAAGTAATGATTTTGGTTTCATGGTCAGGGCTTTATGAGTATGATCATGATGCGTCAAAAGCTATGGAGCTGGAAGTGGCAATTAGAATTAAAGTGATAATACATAGTAAGTGTTTGGTTTTTGTTTTTTTTTTCTTCTAAATTTCTGCAGCAAAGTTTTTGAATCTCTCATTTTTCAGACACCAAATTCCATTTGGAAGGAGTAGGTTGATTAAATACCTTTTATGCATCATTTGTTTTCATTTGTTTGTTGGATGTCAGCATGTGGGACTCTTGAGTTTGAGTACCTTTGTCTGTTTCGATATGATAATGCGATGTTAATTTAGGTTATAATGATGAATCTTTGTATTTAAGATTTTTTTTGGCCTAATCGGATAAATAGTTCCCGTGGTCATAAGGTATTCGGAAGGTAACCCCTGTGGTAAAAAAATTCGGATTTAAACCCATGTGGTCTAAGTCTGTTATGATTTATACCCAAAATTAAAACTTCCGCTATCCCTCTGTTAGTAATAGTCTCATATGAGGATAAGATGGTCATTTCATCCCCCATCCCTTCCATAATCACTCTCCAATTTTAGATTTGGTTTTTCATTTTGGATTTTAATTTTTTTTCGTTTTGATTTTAGATTGATGCTGCTCCTTTCTACCTTGTAGTTTAGGAACAAAGCCAGAGGAGATGGAAAGGTTTCATTAGGGTGGTAACCCAGCAAAACCAGTGGAGATGGAAAGGTTTCGTTAGGGTGGTAACCTAGCAAAACCAGAGGAGCCCCACCATAATTTCACAATACTAATCTCTCTCTCCATTTTAACAACATATCAACAAACAGACGACCCCCTCCTGAAAAGGGTCAGATCGCGGTCGTCGAGCAGATTGAGGTCTGCAACCCAACGTATTACTTAAATTGGGCGAAACGCCTGATTTTGCTATTCACTTCTCATGAACGTTGAACGGAAGGGATGAATGACTATTCATTCTCAAAGATTTATAATCACCATTGATAAACATGGTTCCAATCAATAAGCACAACAAACTACCAAAAAACATTCAATCGTTTACGAAATTCAACTTTCCTGACCCAATTACAAAAGAGCAAAAAATAAAAATAAAAATAAAAATAAACAGTGGACTCCCACATATGAAAGTATCAAAACACAATGTATCCAAAATAAAATAAGAGCACTATCAGGTTCTCTTCTACCATAGGTTCTGATTTTTGTGGACAAAGCTCTTGCCAGGAGGTTTCCATGGTGCAACAGTTTGTTTAGAAGTGGTTGGTGGATGAAGAGGCCATCCACTCGTAGGACTTGAGCTTCCAAATCTACTTTGAGGCATCTCCACTCTAGGAATTGTGGTAAATGTGGCACCCTTTGCCCCTTCAGTAATGGGATGAGGAAATACTCCAGTCATAGGATTTGAACTTCCAACTCTACCTTGAGGCATCTTCACTCTAGGAATTGTGGTAAATGTGGCACCTCTTACCCCTCTAGTAATGGTTGGTTGACTGTTATCTTGAACCTGTGATAGGAACATAATGAAATGAAATTATTCACTTATCATTGTGAAAATTACAAACTATAAGTCAATTGAATATAAATAAGAACTCACTTTTGTAGCTTCATAGGGATCACAATACAAGGCTTGCTTGGGGTTGTTTCTCCTTGCTATGAGTTTGGACTTTTTAGGCACTGGACCTCTATCGATTGAATGTACAACATCTCCAACATCAACTTGAACAACAGTTGTATGTTGATTCATTACTTGGTCTTCATTTTCAGTAATTGTATGTTGATTCATTACTTGGTTTTCCTTTGAGTAGATGAACCACTACTTTGTCTTTTTTTCTTGCCACCAGTTTCTGGTCTAGAATATGCCCATCTCTTGTCAACATATACACCTTGTGGGGCATCTCTAGGCTCATTTTTACAAAACTTTTGGTTATGCCCCCAACCCCAACACTTGTGGCATTGTATTGTCTTTCCCTTCCTACTCACAACCTGCTTAGAATCACTATATTATCATTTACCTTTTTCTCCATTTCAGGACCCTTTTTTCTTGCTTTTTTTGGTCTACCAGGTTGTTTTTTCACTAATGGGGGTAGAAGGGGGTCCATGTTGCACTTAGGCCACTTGTTACATCCTTTCAATGGATGAATCATGGGTTCATAAGCTTTCAGATAGGTTGCCTTGTGGTACACCTCATCCACATAATCCTCTGGAACCTGTCAATTATAGGCTTCATCATCAATGCTCTTCAACTTCTCCATTTCAGCTTCAAAGTCAACATGGTTGGGGGCTCTTGCAACACTCCATAACAAATCTTTTAATGTCTTACCCTTATGAATGGCTTTAAATTTCCATACAAATGCCTCACACACCATCTGTGGTCAGCTTCTGGCACAACCGTAGTAAAAGTGGTATCCAAACCCTGCAGCATTTACTAGATACATCAATACAAATTAAATAAGCCACTATGTTTGCATAACTTAAAAGGAAACATGGAGTTTACCTTTTGTTGATCCGATATAAATGTCTACCCATGCTCATGAACTGGTCCAAGATCATCAATAAGAATCTGTAGAAACCAGCACCATGTATCTTTATTTTAAATTTCAACAGCAGCATAGGCTATTGGATACATATTGTCATTGGCATCAATGCCAACAGCTGCTAGTAGTTGACTTGTAACCATGTTGTATATTTCTTAAATAAATTGAAATCATGCTTTCAATTTTTAATCATTCAAGGTTGAGAAAAAGATCATTCAAGGTTGAGAAAAAGAAAAAATGTATTTACCTTTAAAAGCTCCTTTAAGATGGCAGCCATCAACTCCAATCACTGGCATGCACCCAGCTTTAAATCCCATTTTGCAAGCATCAAGGCAAACATAAAGTCTCTGAAAGAATGGAGGATTTGCATGCACTTTCATAGTACTTCCAACATTGGTTTGTATAACTTCTTCACAATATTCCCAAACCTTACCATATTGCTCTACAATTGACCCCCTTATCATTTCTTAGGCTTCGTGTCTTGCCCTGAAACACTGATCTAAGGATACCTCCAATTCCATCTCCCTCTTAATTATGGTTTGCAAAGTTTTTGCATCTGTTCGTGGATCATCTCTAAACCTATCAATGTATTTTTCAGCCATGAGTTTGAAAGTGAAATGTTTATTTCTCCATACTCGACTACATGTATGCTCGTCAACAAGTACGTTAATTAATCAAATGGAAATTTCAAAGGTAACTGACAAGCGATGGAATGTGGAATCCAAAAAAGCAATAAGATTTGTTCCATTGCTATTAAACAACTAATTGGCTTTTTGCCTTCTAGTTTGCTTTGTTTGTTTCCTTTTTGTTGCCTTCTTCCCTTTCAAAACCCTACACATAAACCCCTATATATACCACTAAGAAGGAGACCGACTGGAAAAAAGAAAATAGAACCCATGATTCATCCAACGAAAAACCATCAACTCCAGCTTTTGAAGCATAATAAAGAGGAGACCTTCAAGCATAAAACCGCACATGGTGGTTACGATTACGAACAAACGATTTTCAAAATAGAACAATCACCTAAAGTTATCAAGATTGTAGCAATACCTGGGTATGTTGGTGCGATGTCTCCCTCAATTCTTCGCTTAGCCATTGATGGGGCTTTTCAAACATGAACCAAACCTCTGGGTATGTTCGTGCTTTAGAATTGGGAACAAGTTTGATCTTGAGGGGGTTTTGTAGCTAAGCTATTGGCATGCTACTAATTATGAAATGACCATCTTATCCTCATATGAGACTATTACTAACGGAGGGATAACAGAAGTTTTAATTTTGGGTATAAATCCTAACAGACTTAGACCACAAGGGTTTAAATCCGAATTTTTTTATCACAGGGGTTACCTTCCGAATACTTTATGACTACGGGAACTATTTATCCGATTAGGCCATTTTTTTTTATGACAGATATGTGAGGCATTAGCCATGATTTCATCTGGGCAATTAGGAAATATCAAAAGTGTCCTCTCTGCTAAGGATAACACACTCCTGTGGGAACTAGACATCTTAATATTTTGCAATCTGATTACAAATTATACACCAAAAGTACATACCGCTATCAATTATATGATATTTTTAGATTGTTAGTGGCTTTGTTCTATTTTATATATTGACATACAACATTAAAATCCCGATCATGGTCCACTAAAAAGTATTAAACGTGTTATAAGTAGAAACGCATTCTAACATGTATTTCTTTTTACAGTGAAATTATCTACAGAAACTCAAAGGTGGTTACAGTGGAGACCAATATTCAGAACACAGTGGACAAGTCTTTACAAGCTAATCCTACCGGTTATAGAAACGACATCCTTTGTCTCTCTGCTTACTTGCTTTTTAACATGGAGAAAAATTATTCTCTACTAACACCCGGTGGAAAGCCACTGTTCATTAACAGTGTCCACCCGATTTTGCCCCTCATTCTCTTCATGGTTTTTTAGTTTTAGTGGGGTTGTATGGTGAATTGGCCGTTTTGCCCCTCTCTCTTTTTCTTCCGTGCGTGCCCTCAGTTCCACACACTTCCAAATCCCTAAGGGTGCGTTTGTTGCGCCGGACTGTCTCGGACTGGACTAGCTGCCGGGACTAAGCTGGACTGGTTTAGACTGGACTAAGCTGGACTAACTTAGTGAAGCGTTTGGTGCAGTCTCGGACTAAGAAGCAGGATAAGAAAAACAGTACTGTTCACCAGATTTGTGTTTGCTTAGACTAGGACTACAAATTTTTGTCATTGTGTAATAGAGTAATGCTACAAATCTCATGATATGGGTTAATTGGAGCATATTTTTGCCATGTATATTATGAATCTTAAAAAAAATTGACAATTGTTTTGTTTCTATTACCTGCTAATAGAATTGGGTTTAATTTGCAAATGTAGCTTGATTTAAACTCTATCACCCAACAGAAGAAAAATAATAGTGGCCAATACATGCAACTTCAACAAATACAAGTACATAAGATCTCCATAATTTAGAAAATCCTAGTTAACATTAGTTAACATTAGCCAAAATAGATCTCCATAATTTACAAAATGGCTAGTAAACATAAGCCAAAAATACTAGTGCAAAGCTAAGTTATAAGTCATAACATAAGACTGTATGATTAATAAAATACATCCATGTTAACGTTAATAAAATACATCCATGTTAACATTAGCCAAAATCCTCATCCGCTTGCGTTGTCTCTTAAAAGTCTTTGGACGAACACTTTCTTGAGTTCCGGTTTGATTGCCCTGAACACTCCCACATTTTTTGGTTTATCCAAAATAAGAGACAATGCATCAATTTGATCCATAGGAGAGAGACCCATTGCTTCAAGTTCATTAGCTATGTCAGTATGATCTGCAGTACCTTGAACTAAAGCTTCAGTTACCATTTGCATCCTCTTCCCACTTTCAACATAAAAAATCTTTCAGTCCACTGATAATTGCCTCGGTTCCATCACTTGAACTTCCCACAGCTCTTTTCCTCTTTCTTTGGCTATTTTCAGATGGGGTGCTTTGTTGGCTTTGTTGGTTCATTGAAGAAACAAAATTATCACCTCCAATATCACTTTCACCAACATGATCATGACTTTGTTCCTCCACCATTTGAGCAGGGGTTTCGGCTACATTACCCGTAGCCCGATCTTTTCCAAATATATATGCAAATCTATCAAACAGTGGAAAAGGTTTGCTTCTCCATCCATCGGCTTCTTTATTTCTCTAAGATTATATCAACATAGCAAAACTAAAATTTAGCATGCGTAACAAATATAGGAGCAAGAATATATAACTAATGCATAAATAAAATAGGATATGAACCTGCACATAAGTTTGCCATGCGTCATCACTGTCAACTTCAACGCACTTTTTGACATCATTCCATGCAAATCCACTTGTGTTTATCATGTCAACGACCATACTATATGTTTTTTTTCCATTTCTTCAACTTGGACTCAATATGTGGATTTGCCTTTATATTTGAATGAGGACATAAAACATTGACAGCTTTTGCTATTTCAACCAAAGTACCTTGTTTGAAAGCACCGGTGTCACACCGTTGCTTCCGAGCAACAAAATCCTCAAGAACTCCTAGTAATACTTCTTCCTCAAATGCTTCCCATTTACGCCTTCTTCCTTTTGGCTCTTGAGTAGCATTCAAAATATTTTCGTTATCCATACCTAAACAAAAAATATTTTAATGAAGGAAAATACCATACAAATAATCAATTTGCATAATATCCAATCAACTTGCATAATATCCAATCAACTTGCATAATATCCAATTAATTTGCATACCATCCAATCATTGTGCTAATATCTAACAAATGCATGATAAAAAGGAATACTAAAATAAAATGTTATCATTAAAACATATAGCTAGTTCGGTTGCTGGTTCCTAATTGCTCTCCACTCATTATACATTTCCTCAGCCATATCATTCCTCATTGCAGTCCACTGGTCCGATGATTGAACACTACCAACATATTCACCTTCTTCTGTATTTTGTCCATCTTCTATTATTGGCAAATTCTCCATTGGATCTACTAACATCTCTTCCCTAATAAGATTGTGTAGTAGGCAACAAGCGGTAATTATTCGACCTTGTGTCCTTATCGGATAGAAAGATGGACTCCTTAGTATCGACCACCTTCCTTTTAGCAAGCCAAAACAGCGTTCAATTACATTCCTTGCCTTAGAATGCTTCATGTTAAAATATTCTTCCTTATTAGAAGGTGTTCGTCCCTCCCATTCAGATAAATGATAAGGTATTCCTCTATAGGGTGCAAGGAATCCTTCACCATTTGTATAACCACCATCTACAAGGTAATAACAACCTAATGAAAAAAAAAAACAGACCTTATTAGTGTTTTGTAGTTGACAAACAGAACTAAACCTAACTTAGAAAGTTGAGACTAAGTAATAATCTTACCCGCTGGTACCTTAAAACCATTAGGCCTACTAATTGCATCATGTAGCACTCTAGAGTCTGATGCGGAACCCTCCCACCCCGGAAACACATATATGAACTGCATATCTCCTGAACACACACCTAAACACATTAGTTGCGACTCGACCCTTTCTTGTTCGGTATCTTGGTTTGTCAATTTCAGGTACATGCACATCAATGTGTGTTCCATCCAATGCTCCCAAGCAATTCTTAAAAATAAAAAATAAAAAACTTTTTGTTAATTTATACAAAGGGAATGAAGAGTTAAAGCTTAAGGAAAATGAAAAATATTTCTCATCATACCTTAAAACATCGCCACCTAGCATCTGTAGAATCAATAGGCACAGGCTGTGGGACTTTTAGTAGGAAACCTTGTAATCGCAAAATTCCTTGCAATACGCTATTGAAATACCTACTTATAGTCTCTCCCGACCTATAAAATCTACCGCCAACACTACGATTCTTAGTATGATGTGCTAATATTTGTAAAGTCATACACACCTGTTCCTCTACAGACACCAAACCATCAGTTTTTACCCTCCCATCTTGACGAAGTAAGTCGCATAATATGCCAAAAGTCCTTCTATCCATTCTCAATTCGTTAACACATTCAGTATCAGTATTCCCTATTATACCATTCAGATAACACAAACTAATCTCTCGTCTAATAAGTGAACGGTTAGTCAATGTGGGTCGTTCAACATGTCTCTGTTTGCCACGTAGCATCATCACCACAAGAATCGTACAAATACAAATTGTTTCCAAATAAGACATCTCTAACAATAAGATCAATAAAAGCTTCCTTCGATCCATATCTATCCAAACAAAAAAAAAACAAAAAAAAACAAATTAACTAAATCATTAACCCGAGGCAACAAATATACATATGGCGTTGAAAAAAAAAAAGTTTTCATTAACCCGAGGCATCATATTCAAAATGTTCTACTCTTATACATCTATAAACATGTGTCTAAGAACACTAGTATGAGGATTGCTATCATTGCTAGGCATTGCATGTGAAAAGGGAAATTAAAGGACACCTGTAATGCAGTAGCCTTAGCCTTAGCCTTCCGTTTATGCTCCTCTTCTCTGCAACCAACAACCACAACAAATTGCAATTCAGCATCAACCCCACACAATACAAAAACATTCACATTGTATACACAGTACATACATACACACTGCAAACACAGTACATACATACACACACTACATACACTGCATACACTACACACACTACATACACTACACACATACACTGCATACACTACACACACACCCTGCAAGTACACACACAGTGCATACATACATACACACACTGCATACACCCTGCATACACCCCTGCATACATACACACTGCATACACAGTACACAAACACACACACACACTACATACACTACACTTACACACACTGCATACACTACACACACACCCTGCATACACACTGCACACACACACACTCACACTCACACACTGCACACACACACACACTGCATACATACTGCATACACACACACACACTGCATATATACACACACACTGCATACATACACACACACTCACACTTACACACACTGCATACATACTGCATACATACACATACACTGCATACATACTACATACATACACACACACACTGCATACATACACACACACTCACACTTACACACACACTGCACACACACACACTCACACTCACACACTGCATATATACACACACACACACTGCGCGCACACACACACACTGCACACACTGCATAGACACACACACACTGCACACACTGCATAGACACACACACACTGCATACACACTCACACACAAACTGCACACACACACACAAACTGCATACTCACTCACACACACACTATACACACACACACACACTGCATACACACACACACACTCACACTCACACACTAAACACAGTCACACACACACACACACTGGACACACACATACACACACTGCATATATACACACACACACAAACTGCACACACACACTGCATACACACACAAATTGCACACACACACACAAACTGCACACACACACACTGCATACACACACAAACTGCACACACACACAAACTGCACACACACACACACTACATACACACACACACACTGCACACACACTCACACTCACACACACTCACACTCACACACTGAACACAGTGACACACACACACACACGGGGACAGAGTGCAACAAACTCTTACCCTCACACACACACTCTGTTTTTATACTCACACACACACACTGCATACATACTTGCATACACACACACTGCACACACACACACACACACTGCACACACACACACACGCACACACACACACACACACTGCATACATACTGCATACATACACACACACACACACTGCGCACACACACACTGCACACACTGCACACACACACACACACACACTGCACACACTGCATACACACTCACACACACACACTGCACACACACACAACTGCATACACACTCACACACACACTGCACACACACACACACACACACTGCACACACACACACACACTGCACACACACACTCACACACACACACACACTCACACTCACACTTACACTCACACTCACACACAAACACACACACACACACACTGCACACTTACACTCACACTCACACTCACACTCACTCACACTTACACACACACTGCATACATACTGCATACATACACACATGCACATACTACATAC